CATTATGTTGCTGATGTGACCAAGAGCACAACGTTATTGGGAATATTAGAACAGATAAGAATAATCTAGAATAAATATACCCTGTTGCGTCTTTGGCATGCTCTGGAGCGAGAGGGCTTATACACTCAGCTGGCAGTTTATACAGCTAAACCTAATACACTCTAATACAACAGTCTCCTTCATCAAGTTTATAATGTTTAGTTTTTGGCCCAATTGATTAAAAGGCCATGAGGGACAGTGACAATTGCCACGTGGATCATGATCAGATGCTGTCATCCATTCATTATACTATGTTGAAAGAGTTGCTGTGCTTTTCTTGATCACTTTTGTGATCTGTTGTTATTGATACTGTGTCAGCTGCTTTTTGTTGATTTGATATTCAGAGACTGTGGTGGTTTGAGTCTGATTTTGCCTTCAATTGTGTGGCATCCGTTGTGTGTCTGTGTGTATACTAATGTGCTTTTTGGAGGGGGGGGACACAAGAATTATTTGCACCAGGACAAATCAGAATAATATTACGCTGCTGTCGTCCTCTCAGACGAGCCGTTTCCTGCAGACCCCTCCAGGTCCTCGTCTGCTGCTCGGTTGTTCAGCATTTCTCCTTCAGATCTGTTTGACACCGTCTCTGGTTTTTGCTCTTTCCATCCTCCGAGCCTTTTCATGCACTTCTCTGAGAGACAGAAAAGTAGTTTGTGACAATAGTTAAAAGAAGAAGGTGTTTGTTGTTTTTTACCTGCTGAGGAAATAGGTAAAGAACAAATTCATGTCTCACATTTCAGCCTGAGTAAATGGTTTTAATCTGCATTTGTTTGTAGCCTATTTGCTCTGGTTTTCTTAAAAGCAAAAAGCCACTGAGATGACGGTTACATTTAGTGGTGTTTCATTTACACTAACCTTTTGTCAAACATTGATACTCCCGTAATGGAGTAAACTTACTGTTTTATGAATGGAGTCTGGTGGCTTTGACAAGAGCGATTTAGTGATTTAGTTTCTAGTTAAAAAGAGGATCTCCGTTTCTCTGAAGGGATCCTTTCCATAGTGTTGACACTTGTATAAACAAGCTGTCACTGGCAAAACAAGCACTTTAAATTCGCCCTAGATTTTAAATGTTGTTTTGTAACTTACGGATTGTTCCGTGCATCTTCAGAAGCAGAACAACGATAACGAGGCAGAGAATGATGAAGACAGAGGAAATGATCCCAGCACGGCCAGCGTTCCTGTTTCCACCACCTGAAAATATATCAGAGAGGATGCTGAGTTTAGAAGAAGGGCAGGTTCAAGGTCGTGCATGTGGCATAACATTATCACAGCAGTGGTTTCATTTTCTCAGGGGCCGAAATGTCCTTCACCTTGATACACTGAAAATTTATTTTATTTGTGGTGCTCACAGTATTAACAAAATTGATTAAAAAAAAATCACATAAAATCAAAACTGTCCAAAACTTGATGTGTTAACTGTGTAAAAATGCTCACATTAAATGTTCAGACCTGCTGCACATTTCCACACAGCAGATCATCTTGCACTCAGAGAGAATAAAGTTGGACAAAGAAAGAAATATTCCAAGACATTTACCACGACCGTCTGGCTCGGTCTCTTCTTCCTCTGGAGGTCCAGTTGTGCTGGAATAATCTCTCTTTGTCTCGTTCTGCTGGTCTTTTCCCACCGTTTCTAATAATAGAGGTCTAATTTAGGAACAACGTTATATACACTTGAATTAAATGAACCTGAACAGTATTAAACTCAGCACGCTCACCAACAATGAGGTCAACAACACAGCTGGTCTTCAGCTTTGGGACAAAGCCTTTGTAAAGTCCTCTGTCAGACAGCTTCACTGAGGAGATGTGCAGAGTCAGGACTCCTCTGATCAGGTCTTCATGGAGGAGAGTCGTCCTGCCTCTGTATTGATCCGTCTGTGGATCAGGATCGTCCTGTTGATGACGATAGACGTGGACGATATCCTTGTTGTCAAGTCTCGTCCAGTCCACGGTGAAAGCAGACAGGCTGACCGGAGGATCCAGACGACACTGAAGAGTCACATCACCACCTTCTGCTGCCTTTATCGGCTGAGCCTGGTACATGGCAGGAGGCTCTCCTGAGGAAACAAACATTATATTAGACAGTTTGAAAGCCTCTGAAGAACAGCCATCTTTGCAGCATTTAAAATGATCGGGGGTTTAAACTCAGTGATCTCTGCCTCATCAGAACAGCACAGTTTGAGCTTGTGTGTCCACGCTGTTGTGTTATGTTATATTATTTAATTCCAAAGTCGACCTGGACAGGTCACCAGTCCATCGCAGTGTGGCAGGCAGGGCCACACATAAACAAACAACCACTCATGCTCACACCTAAGGACAATTTTAGGGTCACCAATTAATCTAGTCCTTGGATGGTGGGAGTACCTGGAGCACCCACGGGGAGAACATGCAAACTCCACACAGAAAGGGGCAACCGGGGGTTTGAACCCACAAGCTTCTTGCTGTGAGGTGACAGTGCTAACCACTGCACCACCATGCCGCACTATAGAGAATAATATAATATAATAATAGGCTATAACATACAATGTAGTGCGTGTTTGAGACTAATGTTCAGATTTACAGTAGCCTACAGTAACGTGTAAATAACCGGACCATCTTGGACAACTTTTCTTTTCATTCATATAATAGTTCAAAACTGCTTCTTGTCAAATAAGCCAATAAATACATCTCATATAGCCTATTCATTCAAAATATAAATAAAAATAAATATCAGCCACAAATATAAAATACTAAAAGAAAAGAAAAGAATATCAAATCAGTAAGAAAAGAACAATAAACAGTGACAGTTACTGCAGTAAACAGTAAAATACGACCAGGTTGAATATTACCTTTGACATTTCACTGAGCTGTTTTATCATTATATAACATATCTGATCCATTCCTGGTGCTGACAGCCTGGTTTTCTGAAGAGCGTGTTTTAGTTATGTCTTTACAAATGGTTTGTTTAGTAGGTCATTAGGCTTTTCTTCTTGCTGTAATAACTCTTCACCTTACTGTAGCTTCCCTCCCTCCTTTTCCCTTTTCACTAATATTATTTGATCTATGAATTGCAACAATTTTTTTATCCAGCATCTCTGCTTTCTCCTCATCTCTCACTGCTATTGTTTCTCCATCATTGAAGACAGGGTACCCATATCTCTTTTTATCCCATTCATTCTTTTTATCATCCTGAAACTGTCTCCCGTCCCACTGAGCAACATTTTCTCCAGTATTCTTTCTTTGCACTTTTTATGATTCTTCTGACATTTGCTTGTAACTTTTATATTCAACAAGATTCTGAAAACAGTGATTCCTTTTGAACACTTTAAAAGCTTTATTACTAAATTTAATCGCTATTTTACATTCTTTTGTCCACCATACTATCTTATTTTTACGCTTTCCTGCCTTCTTCTTTATTGACTTCTCTGCAGTCTCTAGAACAACTTTACAAAATGAAAGATTTAAATGATCAACATCTTTATTTCTGTCAATTTATTCCATTTCTTGATCACTAATATTCCTAAATTTATCCCATTCAGCACTACTGAATGACCATTTCTGAAATCCTACTGTTTCATATTCCTCCAGACTCAATTCTACTAGTATTACAATAGGATAGTGGTCACTTCCTACTGTCTTCTATTTTTTTCAATTCAAAAACTTCAACATACAGACAGACAGTATAAGTACAGAGCGGTGAACTTGCCAGGGAAATAAAAACACAGCAAGGAAAATTTAGGGAATACATAAAAAGAAATAAATACAAACAAAATTAAAGGAGCAGGAAGCTATAAATCTACAAATACATTGTGTAAAGTACACAAATTCACCGTTTTAATACCTTTCTTGTTTTGGGATGAGTTTATTATTCCTATATTTAGATATAGTCTTCTAACTACTTCCCATGTGCAAATGCCAATGAATCTGTTAAATACAACATCCGGTTCCAGCCTCAAAATAAAAGCACTGCTGGACCTCCTCATCTGGTTACCCCAACTAACTTCACATATTAGACTGACATTGTATAGCCTAGAGAATAATATAATATAATATTACAATACTACATACACTGTAGTGCGTCAAGTGTTTCAGACCAATGTTCAGATCTGCTGTGCAGTCACATGTAATAACTGGACTCAAGTAAGAGACAAAGTAGTGGTGATGGAGCAGTGGATAAGGCGCATGCGTTTGGTGTGAGCGTTCAATTCCCCACTGTGACACATCCCCCATTGTGTCCCTGAGCAAGACACTTACCTCCTAGATGCTCTGACATGTAGCAATTGTAAGTCGCTTTGGATAAAAGCGTCAGCTAAATGTAAATGCAATGTAGTTCCGTGTCTTGACAAACTCAGACTGAAACTGTGTAAAACTCGCTCATGTTTAACTTTTTCATTCATGCAATATTTCAGAATGGGATCTCGGCAAATAAACTGACAGATAGGCCTATATCTCATCCAAGATTAAAAATCTGTCATAAACCTAAAACATGGAGCCAACAGAACGCATAATAATATTAAATCAGTAAAGAGAGATCATAAACTTACCCGTGACAGTTACCGCAAAGAGTAAAATAATTAGCAGCTTCAGTATTCCTTCCATTTGGAAGTTTTTACACAGTAAATGCACCAGCTTTCTCTGCAACACCGACCGACTAACCCGCGGCACAGCCCACTTGACAGGAACCACTTCGAAAACGACAGTCAAGCCAGCCTTCGCGCTGTCCTGCGATGCGTGTTTTTTCTAGGCATCTAGGCACGATGTTACCGTAATGCCTAGAAAAAACACGCATCGCAAGACAGCGCGAGGGCTGGCTTGACTGTCGTTTTCGAAGTGGAGCCTGGCTTGATTTCGGCGTAGGTCTGTATATTCACTCTCTCTGCGTCTGATCATTGGTCAACAGTTGCAGCAGTCTGATGGCGTAACAGCGTGACTACAAAATAAAAGTCGGCCACACCTGTGAACTGAGAGGTTTTACCATAGGGTTTTACTTGTGACAGTAATGCCGCATTCAGACCAATTAATGAAGTGCGTCTAGAGAGCAGCAGCGTTCAGACTCACTGTGGAGACCTCATGAGGACCAGGGGAGAGCCGCGACGATTGAAACACTTTTCACTATACGTCATTTTGAAATATAACTTTACAAACACAAATCATTTGTTGTTGTCATCAACAACTCTACCCTACTGACTAATCTGTCATGTGATCATGACGATGGCACAAGAAACACAACTCGTCATTGAAAAAATTGATCGCTTGAGTGAATTTACTTTCCATGATTGAAAACAGCTTCTTTCGTATTACTCCGTGAAAGTGTGACGTATCCACCTGATTTGTCCCGGTTCTGTTAAGCACTGTGGACTGTATGTGCTGATGAGGTAGTTTGGCATATCAGACTTGTATGGGCTCCGAGAAAATCGCTGTGTTTCATTCGTCCTCCTCTATTTTGAGCTTTAACCATATATTCTATATTTTTAAATGCTGAACTGCAGAAAAACGTATGGTTAATACACAGAAGCTCCCTGCTGTAAATTGACCCTGTCACTTCTGCTACACAACAATAATTTTCACCAACGTCCACCGTTACAGTGAGAATAGGTTGTAGTCGGTTTTGTCCAATAGATGGCGCCATTGGATAAATGATTGTTGGGATTACAAGCAAAGTTGCAGAGAGGCAGTTTGAAGATGTAGCCTACTCAGATCCAAAGTATCAATATCATAATGTAAAAATACTTTAGTTTAAATGCTAAAATAATCCATCAAGAATAAATAAGAAACGTGATAAAGAAAGTGAAGAAAACTGATAAATTACTTGAGAGGGGGAGCTGTGAAAACATGCAACTGTTTTCACACCCGTTTAAAGCTGGTATCTAAATTCTTACCAACCAGTCAACACATGTGTTTTCATGCTACATCTTTTTTAGTTTGATTTACAGAGGAACCTTTTGAAACACAAAGACAATGACATCGTTTTTATTTTTAGCCCAACTTCTCAGCAAACATAACTTTCATAATTAATACTCTAGGTAAATAGGCTTATTAAATACATAAAATGACATGGCTTAAAGATTACCCTCCTTTTATATTTTTCAAACTTCACTTAACTTTGTGCAATATTTCAAAACAACTTCTGCAGATAAATTCATCTCGTAAAAGAAATGAGGCGTCAGTCAGAAACATATATGAGCGCCTTACAGAATATTAAATCAGTGGCCTAATAAAAAGGACTTAGTAAACAAAAAAGTCAGTAAAACAGTAAAATAATGAGGAGCTTTTACTGATCCAGATGACCCACAAGAGGCTGTGACACACAAGAAATTAAATTTGTATCAAGGTGGAGGCAGAAATCTCAAACAAAACCATCTGAATGATTCGATGTCCTCGAACAAACTGAGAAAATGTTTGGTAATGAGAAAAACAACAGTAGGCTAATGTTGGTGAAAGTAAAAATAGCAATTTAATATCAGTGGACAGTGATAAGAGAAACAGAGCAAGTGCTTTACAGTACAGAGGATACAATAAAATGTAAAGTTCAACATGAGAGAAAAAGATATATATATAAAAATAAAATAAAACACATTCAAATACTTAATTTGACCAAAATGACACAAACCAATCAAACTAATGTCAGTTCTCAGAGTTTCCCTGGAAGTTTGTTTCAGAGAACAGGACCAAAGCTAAAACGGAGAGTTGGAATAGTTTAAGGCGTCAGATCACAAGAGCCTGGACCAGAACCTGAGCTGAGTCCTGGGTGAGGAACAGACGTATCCTCCTGATTGTGTGGAGGAGGAAGCTGCAGGAGCAGGTTGGCCCTGCGATGTTGGCAGAGAAGCACAGATGGTCGTCCAGTGTCACATCCAGGTTCCTTGTAGCCCGAGCCGGGGACCCACAGAGTTCTCAACGGGCCCCATGAGGAGGTTTAATGGCTGTTTCCTCAGTAAAAACTTTGGTAAAACTGGTGAGGTCAGTGTGCTTTTTGATCGTTGAGGTGATGAACGGCAGCCATCGTCCTCTCAGACCATGTTTCTCAAACAGCTTCCTGCAGGCCCCTCCAGGTCCTCGTCCGCTGCTTGGGTGTTCACCTTTTTCATTTCAGATCCGTTTGGCGTCGTTAAAATGTCTGTGCACATAAAGCAACATATGTTAAACATTTAAAACCATAGAAAATAAATCAGTATCACTGGTAATCTTCTTTTTTCAGAGTCCTCCTGGACTTCACATGTTGTTTTCTAACTTACGGATCGTTCCGTTCATCCTCAGAAGCAGAACAACAACAACAACAACAACAACGCAGAGAATAACAAAGACAGAGGAAATGATCCCAGCCCGGCCAGCGTTCCTGTTTCCACCACCTGAAAAGATTTAAGAGAAGATGCTGAGTTTAGAAGAAGGGCAGGTTCAAGGTCGTGCTCTGCTCTAACATTGATGCATCAGAATTAACAAGCTAATAATGTCAGACAGACATCAGTCACAGGGGACATTTTACAGCACAACCAGTACTTTTGATACTTTAAGTACATTTTGCTGATGATACTTTTGTGCTTAAACACAGGACTTTTAATTGTAATAGGGTAATTTTCACTGTCATACATTTGCACTTCCACCACTCTGAGTGACGTTTAGAAATGCTCACATTAAATGTTCAGACCTGCTGCACATTTCCACACAGCAGATCATCTTGCACTCAGAGGATAAAGTTGAACAAAGGAAGAAATATTCAAAGACATTTACCACGACCGTCTGGCTCGGTCTCTTCTTCCTCTGGAGGTCCAGTTGTGCTGGAATCATCTCTCTTTGTCTCGTTCTGCTGGTCTTTTCCCACCGTTTCTAATGAGAGAGGTCTTATTTAGGAACAATGTTATATACACTTTGAATTAAATGAATCTGAACAGTATTAAACTCAGCATGCTCACCAACAATGAGGTCAACAACACAGCTGGTCTTCAGCTTTGGGACAAAGCCTTTGTAAGGTCCTCTGTCAGACAGCTTCACTGAGGAGATGTGCAGAGTCAGGACTCCTCTGATCAGGTCTTCATGGAGGAGAGTCGTCCTGCCTCTGTATTGATCCGTCTGTGGACCAGGATCGTCCTGTTGATGTCGATAGACGTGGACGATATCCTTGTTCTCAAGTCTCGTCCAGTCCACAGTGAAAGCAGACAGGCTGACCGGAGGATCCAGACGACACTGAAGAGTCACATCATCACCTTCTGCTGCCTTTATCAGCTGAGCCTGGTACATGGCAGGAGGCTCTCCTGAGGAAACAAACATTATATTTAGACAGTTTGAAAGCCTCTGAAGAACAGCCTGGTGTCTGCAAAAGCCACAAACCTACTTGCCCTCATAGTTTAAATGAAGTGGGGATGCCACCAAAGCATTGGTGTAGTTTAGTTTTTCTAGTGAGTATATTGTGATTTTTCCCTCCCAGCCTCATACTCACCCGTCCCAGAGCGACGTCCCATAAGCATCATTACACTCACTAATACATACAGTATGCATGTACATAGAGAGCATTCTGAAGGACTGCTTAGGCTGTGTGTTATCAACACTGCAAAGACTTTAACAGCCGATGAAGGTTACAGGTGGGAAAGGGCGTCACTTTGAGTTGAACAGTGGTGGGGACATTAAAGGGCTCAGATTACAGTTGTGACAAAACACTTAGCATAGAGACGTGACAATCCAGAATATTGGGGTCAAGAGAACAAGACTAGAATATATTTTAATGCTATTTAAAGACATATTCAGTGATGAAAATACATAAAGATTATGAGTATTAAACACTTAATTTCCTGCATTTTGGAGACATTTCTCTGCACCAAATTATGGTGGAAATGTATTCATTTATTCAAAGCGAACACCAAATTCAGGTAGCAGGTGACAATATAATTTAATATAATGCAGTAATCAGTAAATTGTTTTGTTTTTTTAGCTAAAGTAGTTTTTTTTGGATAATGCAGATCTGATTTCTCTATATTTACATTGCATTGCATGTTTTCTTATGCCAAAAAAACTTTCTCATAACACTTACATTTGTTATTTAACATTTCTTGTTGCAAGCTATTTTTCAAAACATTTTTAACAAATGCCTCAAATCTCAGTTCTGTGTTTCGCAACACAGACGGGGTGAATTTATGAATGAACGTGTGAAAGTTCTGTCACAAAACGATGTTGTTACGTAACATCCCGCTATTTTAAGCGGGTCTACGGAAATCTTTGACCGTTCTTATAGGCTGCGTATCACGTACACTACACCACTGCATCAAAGCTTATTCCAAAGATTCATTCAGTCTTTAAAGTTTTGCAGTTAACGTGACTAAGTGATAGTGATCGGCACATTAGTGGGATCAGAAAAGAGGAGAATAGTGGAGAAATACGGTGACGTTCGGGGATGTGATACATCTCTAATAATCGCCGCTAGTTTGCGGTACCCCGGCAACAGAAGAAAACCCAACACCAACCCACAAACTGCTCAACCCACTCCCGGTAGCTGGCCTCCAGGGTGTATGAGAACATTTCCACCTGCTGCTACCAAGTGATCACATAAGCACATATAAACACAGCTAATTTTATTAATGAATATCACGCGTTAATCACATTTGCGACTCATGATGAAATGCTGCATAAAAAACATGACGTTAAAACACACGAGTCCAACTACTCCAATAAGGTTTATTATTTATGTCAGCAAAGATATTTCTATGTAACATGTTAAAAGCCTCTACATGCAGAACTTGCTGAAGAGGTATTGGATTTAATAACAACATGCAGGTTTCCAGGGGTTTCATACCGAACCTTTGCTCAATAGTAAAACCACTGCTGACAGCAGAAACATATTAGTGGAGCTCCCACATATACGGCCTCACCCTGTAACATAATCTAACTAAGACCTTTCCCACAACCGAATAACTTTCCTCCTTCTCCCCTTGTCGGAATCTTTTCAGTCTTCTTCAACACTCTGAAACTCTGCTTCCACTGACAGTGATACACCACCTAACGTTATCGCTCCTTTTAAATTTCTGACCCGAATGGGAAGCAGTTCATAAAGCTATAATCTCCATATTCTTTATTCCTCAGTGCTTTATCTCTATCTTGACCGACTGCACATCTACAAACCAACTTATCACAAGATATTTTAAAACCGTTCAATCTTGTGTAGCTAGTGGGATAATCTCAAAAACAGATAAATATCCTAATTATTTCAAGTTTTGCATATTTTCAGGTTACTTACCACTGCAGACAGTGAACCTCGGGTGTATCCTTCCGCACTTTCACCATATAGGCTATCTCCTGAATCACATTAACTTTAGGCTCGAACTATTGGTCTAAATTATTGAGTAGCCAACAACATCCTACCAATTTTCCAATCCCTGGTTCTGGTTTGTGTTGACAAACGATGTGTAGAGCTTCAATCCCAACTAACACAACAAGGTTCACGCAAGCACTTCCTCGTCTTTGTCGAGCTCGGTCGCCGTTCTGTAGCTGGATCCTCCGACTCCACTCAGGCCTGAACTCCCGATGACTGAAATCAAAGTTGTCGCAATGGTCGACTTCTTACAATATATAATGTTTAAAGACCAGTCTGTGAACGCGCTCCCGGCTGGATTGACGTCACATAAAAGAGGCGGTGTTAGCAGCAGATGACCAATCACAGACACGAACAAGTCCACTGTCAGAGGAGCGTCATATTTTATGAACGAGGATTAAACTGTAACACTACAGAAATACGACAGTAGCACGCCTGCAGCTGACACATGCAGGGAGGCAGAAATGAACAGTAGTCTATAATATTGCGTTGACTTTTATGAGCTGTGGCCTAGCCTGTGAAAATATCAGCCTTATTCTTTCAGCTCTGCTGTGTCGGCGTTTCCACATTAAAAGGGTCGTTCCACCTCACTTTAAAAATTAGATTAATTTATTTAACACACTCAAAAGTGTTTCAAACATTGTTCTAAATTAACTTCATAAAGCAATGAAACGAAGCTCCATTCATGCCATGAAATGTGCTCAAATAGCGGCTGAAAGACTGAATCTCAACATTTATGCTGCTGAAAACTCAGGTGGGGAGGAACATGACTACAGTCTCTGTGGTAGGCCTTTGAAAGCTATACTAGCCTAAATAGATAGCCCACGTTCATATTAAAATTTAGTATTTCAATATCCCTACCAAACTGCTCATAATATTCAGCCTCACATAAGAAAAATAAAACCTAGGCCTATTTATTTTAACGGCTGCGTCAGGGTATGTGAAACGAACTGGGAGCAAATATTAAACACATTTCAAAGCAGTCAATAGGCTCAGCCTACTGTAAAAACCTGTAGGCAATATAGCCTAAGGCTTTCAATCAGTCTCTGTAGGATGATATCGGTATAGCCAAGAGTTTCTCCAAATCACCGCTGCAAACATAAAGCAGCTTGTTGGCTGAAAGAGTCTGTGGGATTTTCCGACAGATGGTGATGTCATTTTCCAAGAGAGCTGATAGTCAGTAGGCGGCATTTTCATAGAGTTGATCTCTTATCTGGAACATAACCTCCGGAGCAGGTTAGCCCTTCAGCATAAGTTACCATGGTGATCTACGCCAGTAAGAAGTCAATGATGAGAAGTCGTGATGCTGAAAACCCAGGATTAACCCGGAGTTACCTGGATAAGCTCAAATCCTACTTCGTGGTACAGACCCCAGACCTGTTAAATTTTAAAAAGTTACAACAAACTTAATGTACTGTTCCTTCATACGTAAAACTGCAGGTTTTTAGGGCAGACAATTGCAGAATGTTAATTAAACCATTGTTTTTTGAAATCATTATTGCGAACATGCAAGTGAAAGTAGGCTGTATAAAAAACAACAATAAAAAAAACAATGTTAAAAACATAGGAGAATAAAACAACAGATGACAGATAACACATTGTTCATATCCTAATTGGGTGACGAAGACGTAACCAAACGACCATTGGCTATGGTCCTGAGCCATTTGGAGGAAAAAGGACCGGAACATACCCGTAGGATATTAACAACATATTTTGATACAATCGGGACTGTCAGCTTTGAATCAGTGAGTCAAAGCAACTTCCCGGTCTACTGCTGTGCGGCAGTAGGCTATTTGGTGACTGGAAACTTCAGATCTTTACAGAGAAGCTTCTTCAGTCCACTGCAGTGTTTTTGTTTGTTCTGTAATGTTATCTCTGTATTCACTCATTTTTTAATTAAATATTTTTGTTAATTTTCATTGGACCGAGCCTCTCCTTGATCAAAATCCGTTAGGCTATTTGCAACAGATCCAACTTTATCTGCATGAGCTGCTCCTCTCAGTAGACTATAACTTCAGAGGGAAAAAGTCTACCGCTCAAATAAGCCTAAATAGTAGCCTATATTTAAAAAGCAATGTGGTGCATTAAGTGTTTGAGACCAATGATCAGAAACAGGCTCAAGACAGTCGGACTGAACATAAAATGTCTGGGCTGTAGAGCAACTACAATCATAGATTCCGGTTTTCACAAACGCATTAGACTGAAGCTCACTTCACATCGTTGCAATGCAATGATGCATGCAATATTTCAGGATGAATTCTCGGCAAATAAGCCGATAAACACATCTCATACAAGATTATAGGCCTAATTCTGACATCAGCTCTAAACATGGAGCCTACAGTAAACATAAATAATATTAAATCAGTAAGGAGAGAACAAGAACGTACCTGTGACAGTTACTGCAAACAGTAAAATACTTAGGCCCAGCGATCCAGGAACTTCCATTAGGCTTTATGTTGAGGCGTCTGTTCTCACAGTTACAGTCTATGCTTTCTTTTTCTTCTTTCTATGCCCTTTTATCCTCCCCCCTGGGAGGAGTAGGCTACGATGAGGCCGTGGGACACACTGTGGGAAAACGTGTAAACTCACTTTGCTTGAGTTATTGCGCAATACAAGCAAGAACGCATCGCCTCAAACTGTCAGCAACGTGTTGCTGGTGGCAAGTCTTTCTTCCGAGTGCACAAGTCCGCTCAGGTGTGGCTGCTCAGGTGTGGCGCCAACTGAGCAAGTTCATTCTTCAGAGGACTAGCTACTGTCACCTGTGAATTGTCACATGCAGGAATGTTAAAAAAAAAACATGCGCATTATGATGTTAAGTGTCAGATAAGTCGGCTTGCTGCAGTTAAATATCTAAGAAAGAGACGTCCTCTGTCCCTGAAGAAACCTCTAGGACGCAAGTTAATTAGTATGATGACCTTGTGGTGAACCTATAAACCAGTTAAATTTAAACAATTGTTGCTTTGTGTTGTTGGCCACAAATAATGACAGAGAAAAGAAAAACAACAAGTAGCCATTAGTACAAAAAGTCATGGCAATTTGGTAACATCACAGTCTACATGCTATAATAGTAGGCTAATGAGACTCCACTATGTGTACACACACGAGCACAATTTTGGCTGTATAGGCTGTTTGTGTCCCCTTCAAAAATTGCTCTTGAAAAATATTATGTTTATTTTACCCCTCTCTCGTTGGATGAAATTCACGCGCATGGCCGAAAATCAGATTATTTACTGCTTAATTAACATTTGATCAGCTCTCCCTATTTATACAGTTTGATATAACGTGCGTAAGGTCGAATTCAGCCGACAAAACGTAGCAACACGCTGAACGCCCTGTTTGTACGAGAGCGCACTGCAATGCATTTCCTTTTCACTATGGCATAACTCCTTTTAAGTGAAACGTCTGATAATAGTTGATACCGCTGTGTTTACATACTAGTCGCAGCTGATTGGGTACCCCCTCTCAATTTGTTCAGATTAGAGTTTCAGCTTCTGGTTGAGCACACATGAAAACATAAAATAAAGTTGTCTCCACTCACCAGAAATGAAAACAAAGTAAAATATTTCAATCTAATCAACGTAACATGGTTATGCTAATACAACAGCACATTAGCATACTGGAAACTGGGAGGGAGTGGTGAAAAAGGTGGAGGGGAGGTTAACTAAATGGAGATGTTGCTGCCATAAAATATAGACTATTTTAAATAAAGACTAGACTTTGGATGTCTCCCTTTTTCAATTGCAGGGTCACTGAGTCTGTACTTGGTAAGAAGCTGCCTCTGCTTGGTATCTCTGACAGTCATTTCATAATCTCTGTTTATGGCCAGATAACAATCTTGTGTTGGTTTTTTGTCTCTTCCTCCCAATGTTCCAAAATAAGTGGAAGTAAAATAATTTGTAATTTGTAAAGCAAGGTTTGAGAAAGGTGTGGCATGTTGCAGAATGTTTCTCCCACGCTCTCTCTGTCTCTCTCTCTCTCTCGCGCGCACACACACACACACACACACTCTCAAATCAATTGTCACGTTTAAGTTTAAACATGTTACCAAAGCAGAAAGTAATATCACTCTCTTTCTCTCCAGCTCCACACACACTACATTTCCCTGAAGCTGTATTAAATGGCATTGAAAGTAACTCAAGCGTAGAGTAAAGCATTAAAATTCAGAGACAGCAATATTGTAATATTACTGATACACTCTCAAATGACTAACTATAATGTATTACATTTTGGATGTAACTTGTCAAACACTGCCGGGGTCTTTACAAGTGTTCCTTCCATGATCACGTCAATCAGTCGTAAAAGCAGAGTGTCGGTGATCACAAATAGATTGAGGGGAGGTTAACCAAGTGGAGATGTTGTTGCCAAAAATATTTGAGTTTTAACCATCAATAGTGACCTCTATCTTCTGGCATAAGTCATGTTGGCTTCTGTCATGTTTGGAAGCCCCCACCGGATTGTGACAAAAAGTACCGTCTATTCTGTTGATTTGTTTTTGGGACGACCTGCACTGGGTACCACAGACCTACAGAAAGAGTCTGTCTACAGAGCAGCAGCGGTTAGACTCATGAGGACTGTTTTAAAGTTTCACCCACGATTCTGGAGCATTAAATGCTGAACTTCAGACAAACATTCAAGGTTAATTCACAACAGTCCCCTGCTGTACATTTACATTAGTGTCCCTGTTGCACCACTAGGTGGTGCTCTTTACCAAGGCTATGTTTCAAGAGAAGAGCAGGCGATGTGAATTGTATAGCTACAAAAGGTCATATTGCTGCAGCCGACTAGTGTTCTGAAATATTATTGGTGTTTGTTTATCATTTGTAAAGGTTTAGTCCTTTGATTGTTGTTAACTGAGTATTGACTCACCTACTTTGTTCTGTTATGAATAGGAAACACATGCAGGCCACATAATGGGGAATATTCTGTGTCCTAAACTGTATTATTTATTTCTGTAGTATTTCTGCAGAACAAACAGAAATTCACCAATCTGATCTAAAGTCTGTTTAAGTGTCCCGTGTTCTGCTGTGAACACTTGGGTCCTGTCAACTGCATTCTGACAGATGTACCAGAGTGAATGATCAACACAAGAGTCAGCCAGTGTAGTGCTCCATTTTAAAGGGGGGAAAGTCTGCCGCTCAAACGCTTCTTAGCTTGTGCTAACAACAACTTCCTACGATGGAAAACTCGGGCAAAGTGGAGCTCCTTAGGCAGGAAGATAAGGACGTGGTAGCTATTAACGAAAA